AATTGTTAAATATAAAAAAATCTACGTGGTTAAAATCAGATGCAAATGAAATACCTATTATTTCCCATATTCTTAGAGACATTATAAAAACTCCACTTCTTAACATTGTACCATATCCAGACAAAGATAATAATATACTTATAGTAAATGTATATTATAAATATTATATTCAAGATAATCAAGTTTATAAACAAAACTAAAGAAAACCAATAATAAACAAATGTATTACAGGAATATTAAATCAATTACCAACAGAATGTAATTATTAAAAATCACATAGCAATATTGGAATAACTTATGTAGAACCAAACAATTTTAACTTGGAAATTATCAAAAATTGTATTAAATCAAAACTGTATAACTAATAGACAAATTATAATAGGAGATAATATAATAAAAGCTTTTAATTGTTCTGTTCAAATAGAAAACATATTAATTACAAGCACAACACTAGACTTCATACAAACGGCTTATATCAATAACAATGTAATAAATTAGAACCATTTATCATATCTACATGCTAAAGAAATAATTAAAGATCACACTAATACATTCAACACATTACAAATTGTTACATTAACTATACTTGCTATTATAATACTACTTATAATATAAAGGCATTCCCAAAAAATTAATTGTTTAATATAAAAAAGAGAATTCACCACAATAGAACAAAATAATATAACAACAGAATGTATAAATACAGTTGATACTAATCTTGTATTGTACCCTAGAATATCCACCTGAGGACAGCCTAATTTTAAGGATGGGGTAGTGACATATGTATTGCTCAACCACATAATCACTAAAAATTTAAAAAAAAAAAAGGTTGCATTTCAAGCAAATATCAACGTTGTAAATGACTGCTGTCAGTCGCATTGTTAAAGTGCTCTTCTCCTCGATTCTCATTGGAGCAAAGAAGGTAGGCAGACAACGCGCGGGTGAAAAAAGTGAAAAAATATGTCTGATTCTGCAGTTGCAGCGTCCGCTTCTCCAGTGGCTGACTCGCCCGCGTCAGTTGAGAAGAAGGTGGCCAAAAAAAGGCATCTACATCTGCCACAAAGGCAAAGAAAGCCAAAGCGACGCCGTCACATCCGCCAACTCAGCAAATGGTGGACGCTTCCATTAAAAACTTAAAGGAACGTGGTGGCTCATCACTTTTGGCCATAAAAAAATATATCACTGCCACTTATAAATGCGACGCCCAAAAGCTAGCTCCATTCATCAAGAAGTACTTAAAATCGGCTGTGGTTAATGGAAAACTTATCCAAACAAAGGGAAAGGGTGCATCTGGATCATTCAAACTGTCGGCTTCCGCCAAGAAAGATAAGGATCCGAAGGCAAAATTAAAGGTTTTGTCTGTTGAGAAAAAAGTGCAAAGCAAGAAGGTAACCTCCAAGAAGACTGGTGCCTCCGCCAAAAAAACTGCCGCTGGGGCTGCTGACAAAAAGCCCAAGGCTAAGAAGGCTGTGGCAACCAAAAAGACTGCCGAGAAGAAGAAAACGGAGAAGGCAAAAGCCAAGGATGACAAGAAAACTGGAATCGTAAAGTCGAAGCCCGCCGCAACAAAGGCGATGGCGACCGCAGCGAAGTCGAAGGCTGCAGCAGCCAAATCCCCAAAGGCGAAGCCAGCGGCGTCTGCAAAACCCAAAAAGACGGCGAAGAAAGCAGCGATTTCTGCTACCGCCAAGAAGCCGAAAGCAAAGACTACGGCTGCCAAGAAGTAAATTGCGAAAAAGTACAGTAGTTGGTACATGTTCGCAATCAAAATATATATCTGAAATTTGTTTAAACAAGCCCTTTTCAGGGCTACAACATTCACTTGCAAGAGAAAAAAAATCATTCAAATACTATTTGTAAATTAAAATGTTCCATTTACCTTATTAGCAGACTTTGGCAACAACAATAAAACGATACATGTCTAGTTATTGAATTACGTTGCTTGTTGAGCGTATTCAGTTATCGTTTCCGATTTTTCGGTCTGTATTTGAAAAATTTTACCCATATTATCGGTAGAGTTAAAATGGTAAATTCATATTAGACGATTGGTAAATTGAAAAATACATTTCTTTGATGAAACACATTGTGGCCCTGAAAAGGGCCGTTTTGGATTTTTGTCCGCACTCGCAGGAGGAAATTATTTGGAGCTGGTGTACTTGGTGACAGCCTTGGTTCCCTCACTGACAGCATGCTTAGCCAACTCTCCGGGCAGAAGCAGGCGAACAGCCGTTTGGATTTCCCGACTGGTGATGGTCGAGCGCTTGTTGTAGTGAGCCAGACGAGACGCCTCAGCAGCAATGCGCTCGAAAATATCATTTAGAAAGCTGTTCATTATGCTCATCGCCTTAGACGAAATACCGGTGTCAGGATGGACCTGCTTGAGAACCTTGTAAATGTAGATGGCATAGCTCTCCTTCCTCTTGCGCTTCTTTTTCTTGTCGGTCTTGGTGATGTTCTTCTGAGCCTTGCCAGCCTTCTTGGCTGCCTTTCCACTAGTTTTCGGCGGCATTATTCACTCCACTTATAATTTCACAAACACAATTCACTTATTGTAATGTGGGCTCCGAATGCGTTCATTCTTATACTTTTTTACGAGCAATCATTTCAGGTCTAGTCACCCACCCCTAACTAAGAGAGCTGACAGACGGAAAAGTATAAATATTTCGCTGCCGGGGTTCGACAAGCATTCGTGTTCCGTGTGTACAGTGATCTAAGTGACATAATCGGAAAGCAAAATGTCTGGACGTGGAAAAGGTGGCAAAGTGAAGGGAAAGGCAAAGTCCCGCTCCAACCGTGCCGGTCTTCAATTCCCTGTGGGCCGTATTCACCGTCTGCTCAGGAAGGGTAACTACGCCGAGCGTGTTGGTGCAGGCGCTCCAGTTTACCTAGCAGCCGTAATGGAATATCTGGCTGCTGAGGTTCTCGAGTTGGCAGGCAATGCTGCTCGTGACAACAAGAAGACTAGAATTATTCCGCGTCATCTGCAGTTGGCCATCCGTAACGACGAGGAGTTAAACAAGCTGCTCTCCGGCGTCACTATTGCCCAAGGTGGAGTGTTGCCTAACATACAGGCTGTTCTGTTGCCCAAGAAGACCGAGAAGAAGGCTTAAACGTTTCAAAAGCTGAGCCGAAAACTTGTACATAAAATCGTCATCCAAACCGTCCTTTTCAGGACGACCAAATTATTACCAAAGATTAAAAATTACTATATCAAGAATGGTCATGTTTTCTCTTCTATGTTGAATGCAGGTTGCTATGCAGAACGGTTTTTCAAGCTTTCTATTATAAAAATTCAAACTAGTTTTTTTTTTTTTTAAATACTCGCACACCACGAAGGCAACGCAGACTTACACGCGGTGTCTGGAACCAGTACAGTCTGTTATGAATATATATATAAAGGTATAGTATACACACAACACCCGAACGTTGGTCTACGTCTACCTGAAAGAGCAATGAACGATCGCCATTTAGTTTTAGTCTCAAATACCTCATTTTTGGAATTCTCAAACAATAAAAAGACCCTTTTTTTCTTTTGAAAATGTACCTCCTTTTAAAAACTGAATGGTGGTCCTGAAAAGGACCGATTGCTTAATAGAAGTACAGGATGTACTCTTCTTTTTTTAACCGCCAAATCCGTAGAGGGTGCGGCCTTGCCTCTTCAGAGCGTACACAACATCCATGGCAGTAACAGTCTTCCGCTTGGCGTGTTCGGTGTAGGTGACGGCATCACGAATTACGTTCTCCAAGAAAACCTTCAGAACGCCACGCGTTTCCTCGTATATAAGTCCAGATATGCGCTTCACACCGCCACGACGAGCCAAACGGCGGATAGCAGGCTTCGTGATTCCTTGGATGTTATCACGCAGCACTTTGCGATGTCGCTTGGCGCCACCTTTTCCCAAGCCCTTGCCTCCTTTACCACGACCAGTCATTTTTCACTGTTTTATAGTATTCTGCACACACACACAGCCCGAAAGTCACTAAAGAACTAATTTCAAAATTTTCTGAGTGCCCCTATTTATACGTAAAACGCCAAAAACCCGAGAGAGTACGAACGATATGTTCGTTTCGTTATTCGCTCGTTAAATGAGATGGCATCTGTTTCTCTTTCTCTTTTCCACCATCCACGCTTGCTATATAAGTAGGTAGCAAATGCTCTGATCGTTTATTGTGTTTTGAAACGTGAAAAAGTGAACGTGAACTGTGGTAAAACTCAAATCGGAAATGGCCCGTACGAAGCAAACTGCACGCAAATCGACTGGTGGAAAAGCGCCACGCAAACAACTGGCTACTAAGGCCGCTCGCAAGAGTGCCCCTGCGACCGGAGGTGTGAAGAAGCCCCATCGCTATCGCCCTGGAACAGTGGCCTTGCGTGAGATCCGTCGGTACCAAAAGAGCACTGAGCTTTTGATCCGCAAACTGCCTTTTCAGCGTCTGGTGCGTGAAATCGCTCAGGATTTTAAGACTGATTTGCGATTCCAGAGCTCGGCGGTTATGGCCCTGCAAGAAGCTAGCGAAGCCTATCTGGTTGGTCTCTTTGAAGATACCAACTTGTGTGCCATTCATGCCAAGCGTGTCACCATTATGCCCAAGGACATCCAATTAGCGCGACGCATCCGCGGCGAGCGTGCTTAAATTGGCACGGCTTCAACTGGCAGCCAAAGCGCTAGCATATACTCTACAATCGGTCCTTTTCAGGACCACAAACTACATTCAATGAGAAATAAAATTCGCTTTAGCAGCCTTTTTTTTTACAAGAAAATAACAAAATAACAAAAAAATAGATGTTCTAAAATTTTTTCTAGGGGCAAACGGCACTGGACCTTCAAACATTTGTAAAAAAAAAAATATAAATTCTGCTAATAACTGGATCAAAATAATGATATTTTAATTATTAGCCCAAAATTAATAAAATAAAAGAAAAGGTTAATATATAAACAGTTGATTTATATTTTTCTTGTTGTTAACTTCCTTGAGTAATAAAAGTGAAATACAAACGGAGCATGGGACTTTTAGACCTTCAATCATCTATAAAAAATTGAAATTCTGCGAAAGACAATTTGAAAATATTGTAATTAAATTGGTGAGTCCAATATTTACAAAATAACAGAATTTAATAACATAAAAATTGCTATTTGGTATTTTTTTCTTGGTGATAACTTAAGTTGGGAATATTATTGACGAAGTCGTACGGAGCAAGTGACACTTCCCCTTAAAACGTCTGAAAAAAATAAAAGTTTTGTAGTAGACAGTCTTAAAATTGGTTAATTACGTTGAAGTATTCAATATCTATTACATAAAAGAAAAAGATAATAAAAAAATGTATGCTTCGTATTTTTTATTTGATGAAAACATTGTGTGACCATAGTATGACTACATCGAGACTTATATACGGCAGGGAAATTGATTTATTTCAGACAAATTATTTATAAGTATTCAAAAAAAGTGTAATCTACTAGAGCAAACCTATTAATAATTTGTGAAAATATTAAAAAACTATGGTTTTTAAAAATTGTTGTATTTTTTATGGTCGAAAACAATTGCTGAATGATGCAGTAAAGCAAAATTTGTATGTAATTCATTGTCAACTTAAATCGAGTAAAAAAGTATCTCAATTAATGATAGACGCTTCTTTTTTATGTTTTTCTAAAGGTAGAAAGTTGAAATTTTTAAAAACATTGGGAACTACTATATTATTTGCATTATTTCTGATTTTAAAACATGTTTTTTTATAAATTGCGCTAGTTAAATATGTGAATATTAAAGTTGTATCAACATTAAAACGTCACAAAAACCATATATCAACATTTTAAAAATGCATAGTGAATCAATAATTATTTAAGAATCCAGAAAAATTAAAACATTATATTAACTATAGAATTTAAACACTAAAAATTTAAAAAAAAAAGGTTGCACTTCAAGCAAACATCAACGTTGTAAATGACTGCTGTCAGTCGCATTGTTAAAGTGCTCTCCTCCTCGATTCTCATTCGAGCAAAGGAGGTTGGCAGACAACGCGCGGGCCATTTTCTAAAGAAAAAAAGTGTTCTTAGTAAAAAAAATATGTCTGATTCTGCAGTTGCAACGTCCGCTTCTCCAGTGGCTGCCACGCCCGCGTCAGTTGAGAAGAAGGTGGCCCCAAAAAAGGCATCTACATCTGCCACAAAGGCAAAGAAAGCCACTGCGACGCCGTCACATCCGCCAACTCAGCAAATGGTAGACGCTTCCATTAAAAACTTAAAGGAACGTGGTGGCTCATCACTTTTGGCCATAAAAAAATATATCACTGCCACTTATAAATGCGACGCCCAAAAGCTAGCTCCATTCATCAAGAAGTACTTAAAATCGGCTGTTCACACTATAAACTAATGCGTACACTTAATGAGTTCAATTCGGGTGTTTGAATCTAACTGACTCGCTACTGCGAGGGCATCGCCTTTTATTCATTCTTACATAGGTTCTTATCATCTAATTATATAATGCAGCGCTTGTAAGACGCTGCAGTCTGCGTTGGTCAATGCAGCTGAGGTTTATCTCAAATCTATGTTTGAAGCCTATGACCGCGCTAGTCACCTCCCGCGTGATCATATCTCTTGACACTTCGGCAATAGACCACTGCAACCGTACTTATCTGTAGTTGCCACTTATGCTGTCCCGTGACATGTTTATTGCAGCCCTTAAATAGAACATATTTATAGATTGTCTACTTATCATGTATAAACACATGTTTAGACATTCTCCGGGGGGGAAAAATGTACGGCCAGTAGTCGTCTATCATTTATGCGTTCCAGCTCCAGCTGGTTTTGCTTCGCGAACAGGAAGTTGACAGATCTTGTTTAGCGATCTTTTTACTTCCCCATCGCTTGTTTTAACCGTGACTACCCGGACTTTATCATCTTGTCCTTTAGTCGTACTAATGATTCTTCCCATTGGCCATCTTGCAGGGTGAGTGTTCTCATGTTTTATAAGAACCCGCTGTCCCTCCTTCAGATTTGGCTTTACTTGCCGCCATTTGGTTCGCTTTTGCAATGGCACCAGATACTCCTCTTTCCATTTCTTCCAAAAATCACCTTTGATGCGTTGAATCAGCTTCCATCTATCCAATTCCCAAAAGCGTTTCAGGTCCTTTTGATTTATTGATGTAGTGGCACTTATAATTTTTTGCTTTGCTGCTCGAGTTATATTTCCGGACACAATCCATCCAAATTTGGTTTTTTGTCCCAAGATTCCATTTACAGTTTTTATTTTCTCCATCATAATCAGGGGAAATAGATCCACACCTATCACTATGTCAATTCTGCTTGGCTCGTTGAATCGTGGATCTGCTAGCCTGTAGCCCTTCCACTCTTTGTTGATATCAATATCAAACTTTTTGCTGGGAAGGGCTCTATGGAGTGTTGGTAAAACCAATGCTTCCGTTGATGCTTTGAAGCTGCTTGGAATTTTTGGTTTGATTGTTAGGTGGACACTATTTTTTGATAATTGAGTAGTCTGGGAGATACCTTCGACCTCTATAGTACTCCTTACTCTGGGAATCCTTAATATTTGTGCTGCTTCCTCTGAAATCAGCGTCTTCTGGGATCCACCGTCAATAAGCGCCCTCAACTCGTTGTAACCACCAGCTTTGTTTTTCACTAAAACAACAGCTGTAGCCAATAGTGTGTCTTGGCCTTGCTTAAGGCTATTGCTGTTGATAGTGCGTTTTGTGTCTTCATGCAGAAGGCTGTTGTGTCTTTTGGAGCATCGATTGCATGTAATTTCCTTTCTGCAGTCGATAGCATTATGCTTTCCAAAGCATCTAAAGCACATGTTGTTCTTTTGAACGAATTCTTTTCTTTTTTCGATTGATAGTGCTCTGAATTTGAGACACTTTATCATATCGTGGCCATCCTTAGAGCAAAAGGCACACGATCTAACTTGCACTTTTCTTGTAGCAAGCTGAGCGGTATTTTTGGTAATGGCGTTTACTGAGTTGTATTGTTGCTCAATAAACTCCAGTACGTCTTGTAAGGACTGTATATCTCTTGCCTTTTTTACATGCTGTTCATACAGCTGCAAGGCTTCTGGCGAAAATTTCCGCAGCAGAATTTCTGCTAAAATTACGTCAGCAGAGCTTCCTATTTTTCCTTTTTGCTTTATTATGAATATGCTCTCGGTCGCAGTATCCAAAAACTTCCCTAAATTTTTCTCATCGTGGGGCAGCAAGCACTCCAATTCCATTAATTTGTTGAAGTGTTGGGAAAATATTTTTCTGCTATTCTCATAGCGTTTGCAGATAAGCTCCCACGCTGCTGTGTAGCTAGCCGCTGATCCCGTTATCAAATGGCTAACCACCATTTGAGCTTCTCCTTTTAAGCAGGCTCTTAAATATCCCAGCTTCCTTGTGTTGCTGAGATCTTTCCTGCTGTCTATTAGTTCCGAGAACAGCTCGAAAAATGTTGGCCATTCCTTCGCATTTCCATTGAACGTTGGAAGGTCCACTTTTGGGAGTTCTGGCACGTCGCAGTTGGAACTTTTGAACTGTTCCAACTTCATTTGAAGTACCATCTCTAGTGCGGCAACTTCAGATTGCAGAATGTCTGCCTCATCTTGATCAAAGACAGTTCTGTCATACTTGTTTTCAAGCAGTTTCAGTGTGTCCGTCACGTTGGACCAATGACTTTTCATCATTGCCAGCTGCTTGACTAGTTCAATCTCACTTGAACTATCCAGGGTTTCGTAGATTAGGCTCATCTGTTGCCTCACCCTGTCCGCTCTTCTATCCACCAGTTGAACCAGATTATCAACTGGACTGGAGCTCCGAGCTGATGAGCTATCAGATAATTTTGATCCACTTGGTATATTTATTTCTTCAAGTGTTTCTACCTTTAATGGCGACTCCTTGTAGGCCTTGACAGCATCCATAGTTTTAATAAATATTTTATCATTAAAATATTGATGATCGCCAACTCCCAATTTTACCAGCGCATTGTTGTTAGTAGTAAATCGAACTACCAATGCTTCTATTGCTGGTATAGATGCCTTTTCCTTGATTGCTTGCAGTATTTTGTTCTGCAGCTCTCCTTGGTCTTGCATCAATTTCACAGATCTTTCCGACAACATGTTGGGAAAACAATCACTGTGACTTTTTTGTGCTTTCTGCTTATATTCTTTGGCGTGATCCGTTGGAGGATTTTTTGATTGGTCGCCCAGTTGACCTAGCTGTGCCTCGACTCACAGCTGATTGATCAGCCAAGGAAAAGCAAGAACACAATGTTTCACCTTATAGTCCTAGTACTTTAAGGCGTGGTCTTTTATTCTGTGTTTCTTACCACTGGTGGGGGAAACAACAGAATCACTCGAATAACCTTGCTCTTTTTACTTTGAAGCGCTGGTTTTTTTCTTCTGTGTTTCTTACCACTGGTGGGGGAAAACAACAGAATTTCTCGAAGGACCAAAATGTAAAATTCACAATTGCTGATGTATGGCCTCAACACGCCTTACCACAATTTATAATGGTACACAAAGCAACCTTTAACTATAGACTATAAGGTGCTTGTTTTATTTAAAAACATAAAAGATTCTTTTGTATCTTTTTGCTTTTTATATTTATACTCTGTTCCTTACCTTTGGTAGGGGGAAACAAGAGTCAATTATTTTTGCTACCTTTAGCTGCAAGATTAACTTAGCAATGCTTAAAGGAGCTGGCCTTTCTCTGAATCCCTTACCATATAGGGGGAAACTGCAGAGTCGAATCCGGCTCGAAGGACCAAAATGTTCACACTATAAACTAATGCGTACACTTAATGAGTTCAATTCGGGTGTTTGAATCTAACTGACTCGCTACTGCGAGGGCATCGCCTTTTATTCATTCTTACATAGGTTCTTATCATCTAATTATATAATGCAGCGCTTGTAAGACGCTGCAGTCTGCGTTGGTCAATGCAGCTGAGGTTTATCTCAAATCTATGTTTGAAGCCTATGACCGCGCTAGTCACCTCCCGCGTGATCATATCTCTTGACACTTCGGCAATAGACCACTGCAACCGTACTTATCTGTAGTTGCCACTTATGCTGTCCCGTGACATGTTTATTGCAGCCCTTAAATAGAACATATTTATAGATTGTCTACTTATCATGTATAAACACATGTTTAGACATCGGCTGTGGTTAATGGAAAACTTATCCAAACAAAGGGAAAGGGTGCATCTGGATCATTCAAACTGTCGGCTTCCGCCAAGAAAGATAAGGATCCGAAGGCAAAATTAAAGGTTTTGTCTGTTGAGAAAAAAGTGCAAAGCAAGAAGGTAACCTCCAAGAAGACTGGTGCCTCCGCCAAAAAAACTGCCGCTGGGGCTGCTGACAAAAAGCCCAAGGCTAAGAAGGCTGTGGCCACCAAAAAGACTGCCGAGAAGAAGAAACTGGAATCGTAAAGTCGAAGCCCGCCGCAACAAAGGCGAAGGCGACCGCAGCGAAGTCGAAGGCTGCAGCAGCCAAATCCCCAAAGGCGAAGCCAGCGGCGTCTGCAAAACCCAAAAAGACGGCGAAGAAAGCAGCGATTTCTGCTACCGCCAAGAAGCCGAAAGCAAAGACTACGGCTGCCAAGAAGTAAATTGCGAAAAAGTACAGTAGTTGGTACATGTTCGCAATCAAAATTTTAGATTTCTAGATCTGAAATTTGTCTAAACAAGCCCTTTTCAGGGCTACAACATTCACTTGCAAGAGAAAAAAAATCATTCAAATACTATTTGTAAATTAAAATGTTCCATTTACCTTATTAGCAGACTTTGGCAACAACAATAAAACGATACATGTCTAGTTATTGAATTACGTTGCTTGTTGAGCGTATTCAGTTATCGTTTCCGATTTTTCGGTCTGTATTTGAAAAATTTTACCCATATTATCGGTAGAGTTAAAATGGTAAATTCATATTAGACGATTGGTAAATTGAAAAATACATTTCTTTGATGAAACACATTGTGGCCCTGAAAAGGGCCGTTTTGGATTTTTGTCCGCACTCGCAGGAGGAAATTATTTGGAGCTGGTGTACTTGGTGACAGCCTTGGTTCCCTCACTGACAGCATGCTTAGCCAACTCTCCGGGCAGAAGCAGGCGAACAGCCGTTTGGATTTCCCGACTGGTGATGGTCGAGCGCTTGTTGTAGTGAGCCAGACGAGACGCCTCAGCAGCAATGCGCTCGAAAATATCATTTAGAAAGCTGTTCATTATGCTCATCGCCTTAGACGAAATACCGGTGTCAGGATGGACCTGCTTGAGAACCTTGTAAATGTAGATGGCATAGCTCTCCTTCCTCTTGCGCTTCTTTTTCTTGTCGGTCTTGGTGATGTTCTTCTGAGCCTTGCCAGCCTTCTTGGCTGCCTTTCCACTAGTTTTCGGCGGCATTATTCACTCCACTTATAATTTCACAAACACAATTCACTTATTGTAATGTGGGCTCCGAATGCGTTCATTCTTATACTTTTTTACGAGCAATCATTTCAGGTCTAGTCACCCACCCCTAACTAAGAGAGCTGACAGACGGAAAAGTATAAATATTTCGCTGCCGGGGTTCGACAAGCATTCGTGTTCCGTGTGTACAGTGATCTAAGTGACATAATCGGAAAGCAAAATGTCTGGACGTGGAAAAGGTGGCAAAGTGAAGGGAAAGGCAAAGTCCCGCTCCAACCGTGCCGGTCTTCAATTCCCTGTGGGCCGTATTCACCGTCTGCTCAGGAAGGGTAACTACGCCGAGCGTGTTGGTGCAGGCGCTCCAGTTTACCTAGCAGCCGTAATGGAATATCTGGCTGCTGAGGTTCTCGAGTTGGCAGGCAATGCTGCTCGTGACAACAAGAAGACTAGAATTATTCCGCGTCATCTGCAGTTGGCCATCCGTAACGACGAGGAGTTAAACAAGCTGCTCTCCGGCGTCACTATTGCCCAAGGTGGAGTGTTGCCTAACATACAGGCTGTTCTGTTGCCCAAGAAGACCGAGAAGAAGGCTTAAACGTTTCAAAAGCTGAGCCGAAAACTTGTACATAAAATCGTCATCCAAACCGTCCTTTTCAGGACGACCAAATTATTACCAAAGATTAAAAATTACTATATCAAGAATGGTCATGTTTTCTCTTCTATGTTGAATGCAGGTTGCTATGCAGAACGGTTTTTCAAGCTTTCTATTATAAAAATTCAAACTAGTTTTTTTTTTTTTTAAATACTCGCACACCACGAAGGCAACGCAGACTTACACGCGGTGTCTGGAACCAGTACAGTCTGTTATGAATATATATATAAAGGTATAGTATACACACAACACCCGAACGTTGGTCTACGTCTACCTGAAAGAGCAATGAACGATCGCCATTTAGTTTTAGTCTCAAATACCTCATTTTTGGAATTCTCAAACAATAAAAAGACCCTTTTTTTCTTTTGAAAATGTACCTCCTTTTAAAAACTGAATGGTGGTCCTGAAAAGGACCGATTGCTTAATAGAAGTACAGGATGTACTCTTCTTTTTTTAACCGCCAAATCCGTAGAGGGTGCGGCCTTGCCTCTTCAGAGCGTACACAACATCCATGGCAGTAACAGTCTTCCGCTTGGCGTGTTCGGTGTAGGTGACGGCATCACGAATTACGTTCTCCAAGAAAACCTTCAGAACGCCACGCGTTTCCTCGTATATAAGTCCAGATATGCGCTTCACACCGCCACGACGAGCCAAACGGCGGATAGCAGGCTTCGTGATTCCTTGGATGTTATCACGCAGCACTTTGCGATGTCGCTTGGCGCCACCTTTTCCCAAGCCCTTGCCTCCTTTACCACGACCAGTCATTTTTCACTGTTTTATACTATTCTGCACACACACACAGCCCGAAAGTCACTAAAGAACTAATTTCAAAATTTTCTGAGTGCCCCTATTTATACGTAAAACGCCAAAAACCCGAGAGAGTACGAACGATATGTTCGTTTCGTTATTCGCTCGTTAAATGAGATGGCATCTGTTTCTCTTTCTCTTTTCCACCATCCACGCTTGCTATATAAGTAGGTAGCAAATGCTCTGATCGTTTATTGTGTTTTGAAACGTGAAAAAGTGAACGTGAACTGTGGTAAAACTCAAATCGGAAATGGCCCGTACGAAGCAAACTGCACGCAAATCGACTGGTGGAAAAGCGCCACGCAAACAACTGGCTACTAAGGCCGCTCGCAAGAGTGCCCCTGCGACCGGAGGTGTGAAGAAGCCCCATCGCTATCGCCCTGGAACAGTGGCCTTGCGTGAGATCCGTCGGTACCAAAAGAGCACTGAGCTTTTGATCCGCAAACTGCCTTTTCAGCGTCTGGTGCGTGAAATCGCTCAGGATTTTAAGACTGATTTGCGATTCCAGAGCTCGGCGGTTATGGCCCTGCAAGAAGCTAGCGAAGCCTATCTGGTTGGTCTCTTTGAAGATACCAACTTGTGTGCCATTCATGCCAAGCGTGTCACCATTATGCCCAAGGACATCCAATTAGCGCGACGCATCCGCGGCGAGCGTGCTTAAATTGGCACGGCTTCAACTGGCAGCCAAAGCGCTAGCATATACTCTACAATCGGTCCTTTTCAGGACCACAAACTACATTCAATGAGAAATAAAATTCGCTTTAGCAGCCTTTTTTTTTACAAGAAAATAACAAAATAACAAAAAAATAGATGTTCTACAATTTTTTCTAGGGGCAAACGGCACTGGACCTTCAAACATTTGTAAAAAAAAAATATAAATTCTGCTAATAACTGGATCAAAATAATGATATTTTAATTATTAGACCAAAATTAATAAAATAAAAGAAAAGGTTAATATATAAACAGTTGATTTATATTTTTCTTGTTGTTAACTTCCTTGAGTAATAAAAGTGAAATACAAACGGAGCATGGGACTTTTAGACCTTCAATCATCTATAAAAAATTGAAATTCTGCGAAAGACAATTTGAAAATATTGTAATTAAATTGGTGAGTCCAATATTTACAAAATAACAGAATTTAATAACATAAAAATTGCTATTTGGTATTTTTTTCTTGGTGATAACTTAAGTTGGGAATATTATTGACGAAGTCGTACGGAGCAAGTGACACTTCCCCTTAAAACGTCTGAAAAAAATAAAAGTTTTGTAGTAGACAGTCTTAAAATTGGTTAATTACGTTGAAGTATTCAATATCTATTACATAAAAGAAAAAGATAATAAAAAAATGTATGCTTCGTATTTTTTATTTGATGAAAACATTGTGTGACCATAGTATGACTACATCGAGACTTATATACGGCAGGGAAATTGATTTATTTCAGACAAATTATTTATAAGTATTCAAAAAAAGTGTAATCTACTAGAGCAAACCTATTAATAATTTGTGAAAATATTAAAAAACTATGGTTTTTAAAAATTGTTGTATTTTTTATGGTCGAAAACAATTGCTGAATGATGCAGTAAAGCAAAATTTGTATGTAATTCATTGTCAACTTAAATCGAGTAAAAAAGTATCTCAATTAATGATAGACGCTTCTTTTTTATGTTTTTCTAAAGGTAGAAAGTTGAAATTTTTAAAAACATTGGGAACTACTATATTATTTGCATTATTTCTGATTTTAAAACATGTTTTTTTATAAATTGCGCTAGTTAAATATGTGAATATTAAAGTTGTATCAACATTAAAACGTCACAAAAACCATATATCAACATTTTAAAAATGCATAGTGAATCAATAATTATTTAAGAATCCAGAAAAATTAAAACATTATATTAACTATAGAATTTAAACACTAAAAATTTAAAAAAAAAAGGTTGCACTTCAAGCAAACATCAACGTTGTAAATGACTGCTGTCAGTCGCATTGTTAAAGTGCTCTCCTCCTCGATTCTCATTCGAGCAAAGGAGGTTGGCAGACAACGCGCGGGCCATTTTCTAAAGAAAAAAAGTGTTCTTAGTAAAAAAAATATGTCTGATTCTGCAGTTGCAACGTCCGCTTCTCCAGTGGCTGACACGCCCGCGTCAGTTGAGAAGAAGGTGGCCCCAAAAAAGGCATCTACATCTGCCACAAAGGCAAAGAAAGCCACTGCGACGCCGTCACATCCGCCAACTCAGCAAATGGTAGACGCTTCCATTAAAAACTTAAAGGAACGTGGTGGCTCATCACTTTTGGCCATAAAAAAATATATCACTGCCACTTATAAATGCGACGCCCAAAAGCTAGCTCCATTCATCAAGAAGTACTTAAAATCGGCTGTTCACACTATAAACTAATGCGTACACTTAATGAGTTCAATTCGGGTGTTTGAATCTAACTGACTCGCTACTGCGAGGGCATCGCCTTTTATTCATTCTTACATAGGTTCTTATCATCTAATTATATAATGCAGCGCTTGTAAGACGCTGCAGTCTGCGTTGGTCAATGCAGCTGAGGTTTATCTCAAATCTATGTTTGAAGCCTATGACCGCGCTAGTCACCTCCCGCGTGATCATATCTCTTGACACTTCGGCAATAGACCACTGCAACCGTACTTATCTGTAGTTGCCACTTATGCTGTCCCGTGACATGTTTATTGCAGCCCTTAAATAGAACATATTTATAGATTGTCTACTTATCATGTATAAACACATGTTTAGACATTCTCCGGGGGGGAAAAATGTACGGCCAGTAGTCGTCTATCATTTATGCGTTCCAGCTCCAGCTGGTTTTGCTTCGCGAACAGGAAGTTGACAGATCTTGTTTAGCGATCTTTTTACTTCCCCATCGCTTGTTTTAACCGTGACTACCCGGACTTTATCATCTTGTCCTTTAGTCGTACTAATGATTCTTCCCATTGGCCATCTTGCAGGGTGAGTGTTCTCATGTTTTATAAGAACCCGCTGTCCCTCCTTCAGATTTGGCTTTACTTGCCGCCATTTGGTTCGCTTTTGCAATGGCACCAGATACTCCTCTTTCCATTTCTTCCAAAAATCACCTTTGATGCGTTGAATCAGCTTCCATCTATCCAATTCCCAAAAGCGTTTCAGGTCCTTTTGATTTATTGATGTAGTGGCACTTATAATTTTTTGCTTTGCTGCTCGAGTTATATTTCCGGACACAATCCATCCAAATTTGGTTTTTTGTCCCAAGATTCCATTTACAGTTTTTATTTTCTCCATCATAATCAGGGGAAATAGATCCACACCTATCACTATGTCAATTCTGCTTGGCTCGTTGAATCGTGGATCTGCTAGCCTGTAGCCCTTCCACTCTTTGTTGATATCAATATCAAACTTTTTGCTGGGAAGGGCTCTATGGAGTGTTGGTAAAACCAATGCTTCCGTTGATGCTTTGAAGCTGCTTGGAATTTTTGGTTTGATTGTTAGGTGGACACTATTTTTTGATAATTGAGTAGTCTGGGAGATACCTTCGACCTCTATAGTACTCCTTACTCTGGGAATCCTTAATATTTGTGCTGCTTCCTCTGAAATCAGCGTCTTCTGGGATCCACCGTCAATAAGCGCCCTCAACTCGTTGTAACCACCAGCTTTGTTTTTCACTAAAACAACAGCTGTAGCCAATAGTGTGTCTTGGCCTTGCTTAAGGCTATTGCTGTTGATAGTGCGTTTTGTGTCTTCATGCAGAAGGCTGTTGTGTCTTTTGGAGCATCGATTGCATGTAATTTCCTTTCTGCAGTCGATAGCATTATGCTTTCCAAAGCATCTAAAGCACATGTTGTTCTTTTGAACGAATTCTTTTCTTTTTTCGATTGATAGTGCTCTGAATTTGAGACACTTTATCATATCGTGGCCATCCTTAGAGCAAAAGGCACACGATCTAACTTGCACTTTTCTTGTAGCAAGCTGAGCGGTATTTTTGGTAATGGCGTTTACTGAGTTGTATTGTTGCTCAATAAACTCCAGTACGTCTTGTAAGGACTGTATATCTCTTGCCTTTTTTACATGCTGTTCATACAGCTGCAAGGCTTCTGGCGAAAATTTCCGCAGCAGAATTTCTGCTAAAATTACGTCAGCAGAGCTTCCTATTTTTCCTTTTTGCTTTATTATGAATATGCTCTCGGTCGCAGTATCCAAAAACTTCCCTAAATTTTTCTCATCGTGGGGCAGCAAGCACTCCAATTCCATTAATTTGTTGAAGTGTTGGGAAAATATTTTTCTGCTATTCTCATAGCGTTTGCAGATAAGCTCCCACGCTGCTGTGTAGCTAGCCGCTGATCCCGTTATCAAATGGCTAACCACCATTTGAGCTTCTCCTTTTAAGCAGGCTCTTAAATATCCCAGCTTCCTTGTGTTGCTGAGATCTTTCCTGCTGTCTATTAGTTCCGAGAACAGCTCGAAAAATGTTGGCCATTCCTTCGCATTTCCATTGAACGTTGGAAGGTCCACTTTTGGGAGTTCTGGCACGTCGCAGTTGGAACTTTTGAACTGTTCCAACTTCATTTGAAGTACCATCTCTAGTGCGGCAACTTCAGATTGCAGAATGTCTGCCTCATCTTGATCAAAGACAGTTCTGTCATACTTGTTTTCAAGCAGTTTCAGTGTGTCCGTCACGTTGGACCAATGACTTTTCATCATTGCCAGCTGCTTGACTAGTTCAATCTCACTTGAACTATCCAGGGTTTCGTAGATTAGGCTCATCTGTTGCCTCACCCTGTCCGCTCTTCTATCCACCAGTTGAACCAGATTATCAACTGGACTGGAGCTCCGAGCTGATGAGCTATCAGATAATTTTGATCCACTTGGTATATTTATTTCTTCAAGTGTTTCTACCTTTAATTGCGACTCCTTGTAGGCCTTGACAGCATCCATAGTTTTAATAAATATTTTATCATTAAAATATTGATGATCGCCAACTCCCAATTTTACCAGCGCATTGTTGTTAGTAGTAAATCGAACTACCAATGCTTCTATTGCTGGTATAGATGCCTTTTCCTTGATTGCTTGCAGTATTTTGTTCTGCAGCTCTCCTTGGTCTTGCATCAATTTCACAGATCTTTCCGACAACATGTTGGGAAAACAATCACTGTGACTTTTTTGTGCTTTCTGCTTATATTCTTTGGCGTGATCCGTTGGAGGATTTTTTGATTGGTCGCCCAGTTGACCTAGCTGTGCCTCGACTCACAGCTGATTGATCAGCCAAGGAAAAGCAAGAACACAATGTTTCACCTTATAGTCCTAGTACTTTAAGGCGTGGTCTTTTATTCTGTGTTTCTTACCACTGGTGGGGGAAACAACAGAATCACTCGAATAACCTTGCTCTTTTTACTTTGAAGCGCTGGTTTTTTTCTTCTGTGTTTCTTACCACTGGTGGGGGAAAACAACAGAATTTCTCGAAGGACCAAAATGTAAAATTCACAATTGCTGATGTATGGCCTCAACACGCCTTACCACAATTTATAATGGTACACAAAGCAACCTTTAACTATAGACTATAAGGTGCTTGTTTTATTTAAAAACATAAAAGATTCTTTTGTATCTTTTTGCTTTTTATATTTATACTCTGTTCCTTACCTTTGGTAGGGGGAAACAAGAGTCAATTATTTTTGCTACCTTTAGCTGCAAGATTAACTTAGCAATGCTTAAAGGAGCTGGCCTTTCTCTGAATCCCTTACCATATAGGGGGAAACTGCAGAGTCGAATCCGGCTCGAAGGACCAAAATGTTCACACTATAAACTAATGCGTACACTTAATGAGTTCAATTCGGGTGTTTGAATCTAACTGACTCGCTACTGCGAGGGCATCGCCTTTTATTCATTCTTACATAGGTTCTTATCATCTAATTATATAATGCAGCGCTTGTAAGACGCTGCAGTCTGCGTTGGTCAATGCAGCTGAGGTTTATCTCAAATCTATGTTTGAAGCCTATGACCGCGCTAGTCACCTCCCGCGTGATCATATCTCTTGACACTTCGGCAATAGACCACTGCAACCGTACTTATCTGTAGTTGCCACTTATGCTGTCCCGTGACATGTTTATTGCAGCCCTTAAATAGAACATATTTATAGATTGTCTACTTATCATGTATAAACACATGTTTAGACATCGGCTGTGGTTAATGGAAAACTTATCCAAACAAAGGGAAAGGGTGCATCTGGATCATTCAAACTGTCGGCTTCCGCCAAGAAAGATAAGGATCCGAAGGCAAAATTAAAGGTTTTGTCTGTTGAGAAAAAAGTGCAAAGCAAGAAGGTAACCTCCAAGAAGACTGGTGCCTCCGCCAAAAAAACTGCCGCTGGGGCTGCTGACAAAAAGCCCAAGGCTAAGAAGGCTGTGGCCACCAAAAAGACTGCCGAGAAGAAGAAACTGGAATCGTAAAGTCGAAGCCCGCCGCAACAAAGGCGAAGGCGACCGCAGCGAAGTCGAAGGCTGCAGCAGCCAAATCCCCAAAGGCGAAGCCAGCGGCGTCTGCAAAACCCAAAAAGACTTCGAAGAAAGCAGCGATTTCTGCTACCGCCAAGAAGCCGAAAGCAAAGACTACGGCTGCCAAGAAGTAAATTGCGAAAAAGTACAGTAGTTGGTACATGTTCGCAATCAAAATTTTAGATTTCTAGATCTGAAATTTGTCTAAACAAGCCCTTTTCAGGGCTACAACATTCACTTGCAAGAGAAAAAAAATCATTCAAATACTATTTGTAAATTAAAATGTTCCATTTACCTTATTAGCAGACTTTGGCAACAACAATAAAACGATACATGTCTAGTTATTGAATTACGTTGCTTGTTGAGCGTATTCAGTTATCGTTTCCGATTTTTCGGTCTGTATTTGAAAAATTTTACCCATATTATCGGTAGAGTTAAAATGGTAAATTCATATTAGACGATTGGTAAATTGAAAAATACATTTCTTTGATGAAACACATTGTGGCCCTGAAAAGGGCCGTTTTGGATTTTTGTCCGCACTCGCAGTAGGAAATTATTTGGAGCTGGTGTACTTGGTGACAGCCTTGGTTCCCTCACTGACAGCATGCTTAGCCAACTCTCCGGGCAGAAGCAGGCGAACAGCCGTTTGGATTTCCCGACTGGTGATGGTCGAGCGCTTATTGTAGTGAGCCAGACGAGACGCCTCGGCAGCAATGCGCTCGAAAATATCATTTACAAAGCTGTTCATTATGCTCATCGCCTTAGACGAAATACCGGTGTCAGGATGGACCTGCTTGAGAACCTTGTAAATGTAGATGGCATAGCTCTCCTTCCTCTTGCGCTTCTTTTTCTTGTCGGTCTTGGTGATGTTCTTCTGAGCCTTGCCAGCCTTCTTGGCTGCCTTTCCACTAGTTTTCGGCGGCATTATTCACTTCACTTATAATTTCACAAACACAATTCACTTATTGTAATGTGGGCTCCGAATGCGTTCATTCTTATACTTTTTTACGAGCAATCATTTCAGGTCTAGTCACCCACCCCTAACTAAGAGAGCTGACAGACGGAAAAGTATAAATATTTCGCTGCCGGGGTTCGACAAGCATTCGTGTTCCGTGTGTACAGTGATCTAAGTGAAATAATCGCAAAGCAAAATGTCTGGACGTGGAAAAGGTGGCAAAGTGAAGGGAAAGGCAAAGTCCCGCTCCAACCGTGCCGGTCTTCAATTCCCTGTGGGCCGTATTCACCGCCTGCTCAGGAAGGGTAACTACGCCGAGCGTGTTGGTGCAGGCGCTCCAGTTTACCTAGCAGCCGTAATGGAATATCTGGCTGCTGAGGTTCTCGAGTTGGCAGGCAATGCTGCTCGTGACAACAAGAAGACTAGAATTATTCCGCGTCATCTGCAGTTGGCCATCCGTAACGACGAGGAGTTAAACAAGCTGCTCTCCGGCGTCACTATTGCCCAAGGTGGAGTGTTGCCTAACATACAGGCTGTTCTGTTGCCCAAGAAGACCGAGAAGAAGGCTTAAACGTTTCAAAAGCTGAGCCGAAAACTTGTACATAAAATCGTCATCCAAACCGTCCTTTTCAGGACGACCAAATTATTACCAAAGATTAAAAATTACTATATCAAGAATGGTCATGTTTTCTCTTCTATGTTGAATGCAGGTTGCTATGCAGTACGGTTTTTCAAGCTTTCTATTATAAAAATTCAAACTAGTTTTTTTTTTTTTAAATACTCGCACACCACGAAGGCAACGCAGACTTACACGCGGTGTCTGGAACCAGTACAGTCTGTTATGAATATATATATAAAGGTATAGTATACACACAACACCCGAACGTTGGTCTACGTCTACCTGAAAGAGCTATGAACGATCGCCATTTAGTTTTAGTCTCAAATACCTCATTTTTGGAATTCTCAAACAATAAAAAGACCCTTTTTTTCTTTTGAAAATGTACCTCCTTTTAAAAACTGAATGGTGGTCCTGAAAAGGACCGATTGCTTAATAGAAGTACAGGATGTACTCTTCTTTTTTTAACCGCCAAATCCGTAGAGGGTGCGGCCTTGCCTCTTCAGAGCGTACACAACATCCATGGCAGTAACAGTCTTCCGCTTGGCGTGTTCGGTGTAGGTGACGGCATCACGAATTACGTTCTCCAAGAAAACCTTCAGAACGCCACGCGTTTCCTCGTATATAAGTCCAGATATGCGCTTCACACCGCCACGACGAGCCAAACGGCGGATAGCAGGCTTCGTGATTCCTTGGATGTTATCACGCAGCACTTTGCGATGTCGCTTGGCGCCACCTTTTCCCAAGCCCTTGCCTCCTTTACCACGACCAGTCATTTTTCACTGTTTTATACTATTCTGCACACACACACAGCCCGAAAGTCACTAAAGAACTAATTTCAAAATTTTCTGAGTGCCCCTATTTATACGTAAAACGCCAAAAACCCGAGAGAGTACGAACGATATGTTCGTTTCGTTATTCGCTCGTTAAATGAGATGGCATCTGTTTCTCTTTCTCTTTTCCACCATCCACGCTTGCTATATAAGTAGGTAGCAAATGCTCTGATCGTTTATTGTGTTTTGAAACGTGAAGAAGTGAACGTGAACTGTGGTAAAACTCAAATCGGAAATGGCCCGTACGAAGCAAACTGCACGCAAATCGACTGGTGGAAAAGCGCCACGCAAACAACTGGCTACTAAGGCCGCTCGCAAGAGTGCCCCTGCGACCGGAGGTGTGAAGAAGCCCCATCGCTATCGCCCTGGAACAGTGGCCTTGCGTGAGATCCGTCGGTACCAAAAGAGCACTGAGCTTTTGATCCGCAAACTGCCTTTTCAGCGTCTGGTGCGTGAAATCGCTCAGGATTTTAAGACTGATTTGCGATTCCAGAGCTCGGCGGTTATGGCCCTGCAAGAAGCTAGCGAAGCCTATCTGGTTGGTCTCTTTGAAGATACCAACTTGTGTGCCATTCATGCCAAGCGTGTCACCATTATGCCCAAGGACATCCAATTAGCGCGACGCATCCGCGGCGAGCGTGCTTAAATTGGCACGGCTTCAACTGGCAGCCAAAGCGCTAGCATATACTCTACAATCGGTCCTTTTCAGGACCACAAACTACATTCAATGAGAAATAAAATTCGCTTTAGCAGCCTTTTTTTTACAAGAAAATAACAAAATAACAAAAAAAATAGATGTTCTACAATTTTTTCTAGGGGCAAACGGCACTGGACCTTCAAACATTTGTAAAAAAAAATATATAAATTCTGCTAATAACTGGATCAAAATAATGATATTTTAATTATTAGCCCAAAATTAATAAAATAAAAGAAAAGGTTAATATATAAACAGTTGATTTATATTTTTCTTGTTGTTAACTTCCTTGAGTAATAAAAGTGAAATACAAACGGAGCATGGGACTTTTAGACCTTCAATCATCTATAAAAAATTGAAATTCTGCGAAAGACAATTTGAAAATATTGTAATTAAATTGGTGAGTCCAATATTTACAAAATAACAGAATTTAATAACATAAAAATTGCTATTTGGTATTTTTTTCTTGGTGATAACTTAAGTTGGGAATATTATTGACGATGTCGTACGGGGCAAGTGACACTTCCCCTTAAAACGTCTGAAAAAAATAAAAGTTTTGTAGTAGACAGTCTTAAAATTGGTTAATTACGTTGAAGTATTCAATATCTATTACATAAAAGAAAAAGATAATAAAAAAATGTATGCTTGGTTTTTTTTATTTGATGAAAACATTGTGTGACCAAAGTATGACTACATCGAGGCTTATATACGGCAGGGAAATTGATTTATTTCAGACAAATTATTTATAAGTATTCAAAAAAAGTGTAATCTACTAGAGCAAACCTATTAATAATTTGTGAAAATATTAAAAAACTATGGTTTTTAAAAATTGTTGTATTTCTTATGGTCGAAAACAATTGCTGAATGATGCAGTAAAGCAAAATTTGTATGTAATTCATTGTCAACTTAAATCGAGTAAAAAAGTATCTCAATTAATGATAGACGCTTCTTTTTTATGTTTTTCTAAAGGTAGAAAGTTGAAATTTTTATAAACATTGGGAACTACTATATTATTTGCATTATTTCTGATTTTAAAACATGTTTTTTTATAAATTGCGCTAGTTAAATATGTGAATATTAAAGTTGTATCAACATTAAAACGTCACAAAAACCATATATCAACATTTTAAAAATGCATAGTGAATCAATAATTATTTAAGAATCCAGAAAAATTAAAACATTATATTAACTATAGAATTTAAACACTAAAAATTTAAAAAAAAGGTTGCACTTCAAGCAACGTTGTAAATGACTGCTGTCAGTCGCATTGTTAAAGTGCTCTCCTCCTCGATTCTCATTCGAGCAAAGGAGGTTGGCAGACAACGCGCGGGCCATTTTCTAAAGAAAAAAAGTGTTCTTAGTAAAAAAAATATGTCTGATTCTGCAGTTGCAACGTCCGCTTCTCCAGTGGCTGCCACGCCCGCGTCAGTTGAGAAGAAGGTGGCCCCAAAAAAGGCATCTACATCTGCCACAAAGGCAAAGAAAGCCACTGCGACGCCGTCACATCCGCCAACTCAGCAAATGGTAGACGCTTCCATTAAAAACTTAAAGGAACGTGGTGGCTCATCACTTTTGGCCATAAAAAAATATATCACTGCCACTTATAAACGCGACGCCCAAAAGCTAGCTCCATTCATCAAGAAGTACTTAAAATCGGCTGTGGTTAATGGAAAACTTATCCAAACAAAGGGAAAGGGTGCATCTGGATCATTCAAACTGTCGGCTTCCGCCAAGAAAGATAAGGATCCGAAGGCAAAATTAAAGGTTTTGTCTGTTGAGAAAAAAGTGCAAAGCAAGAAGGTAACCTCCAAGAAGACTGGTGCCTCCGCCAAAAAAACTGCCGCTGGGGCTGCTGACAAAAAGCCCAAGGCTAAGAAGGCTGTGGCCACCAAAAAGACTGCCGAGAAGAAGAAAACGGAGAAGGCAAAAGCCAAGGATGACAAGAAAACTGGAATCGTAAAGTCGAAGCCCGCCGCAACAAAGGCGAAGGCGACCGCAGCGAAGTCGAAGGCTGCAGCAGCCAAATCCCCAAAGGCGAAGCCAGCGGCGTCTGCAAAACCCAAAAAGACGGCGAAGAAAGCAGCGATTTCTGCTACCGCCAAGAAGCCGAAAGCAAAGACTACGGCTGCCAAGAAGTAAATTGCGAAAAAGTACAGTAGTTGGTACATGTTCGCAATCAAAATTTTAGATTTCTAGATCTGAAATTTGTCTAAACAAGCCCTTTTCAGGGCTACAACATTCACTTGCAAGAGAAAAAAAATCATTCAAATACTATTTGTAAATTAAAATGTTCCATTTACCTATTAGCAGACTTTGGCAACAACAATAAAACGATACATGTCTAGTTATTGAATTACGTTGCTTGTTGAGCGTATTCAGTTATCGTTTCCGATTTTTCGGTCTGTATTTGAAAAATTTTACCCATATTATCGGTAGAGTTAAAATGGTAAATTCATATTAGACGATTGGTAAATTGAAAAATACATTTCTTTGATGAAACACATTGTGGCCCTGAAAAGGGCCGTTTTGGATTTTTGTCCGCACTCGCAGGAGGAAATTATTTGGAGCTGGTGTACTTGGTGACAGC